GAGACTCTGTCTCAAAAAAAAAAAAAAAAAAAAAAAAAAAAAAGATGATATTGCAAATTAAAGATCCTAGTTAGACTCTAATATTAATTAAATAATTACTTTCCATATTTGCTGCATTTACTGCCAGCCCACTAAGACGCCTACCCTAAGCGTTTTATTTTATTTTATTTTTCTTTACTCTTCTTATCCAGTAGCAGTAGCTGGGGAAGAACTATTTACCCCATCCCCAACCATGAGCACTCTCTTTGTTTACCTACAACCTGTTTCTGCCTGAGGACATGTACCAACAACCACAAGTTATTGGGATTCTAGATCAAAGAGAATGCCAGATGTCATTTTTTAAAGTTTCTAGGGGAAAAAAGCAAGTATTTTGTATCAATTATCTTTTAAATTTTAGAATAGTTAAAAAAAAATTTAAACCTAAGCTTTCATTACTACTTCATACAGAACTTTCACAGAGCCTTGAGCCTTATCTATACATAGAACATTAGAGCTTGATATACAAATGAAGAATATCATATCCCCCTCACATCAAAGGCACTCCCCACTCCATTCACACAGACCTGCCCCAGTAATAAATTACATTCAGATTAGAAAAAATAACATAGCACTTTATATCATATAACTTCTATTGTCTTACAAGTCTATGTTTATGCCTACAATAGAAATGAACTGAATAAGTTAAAACCTGAAGTTTTTAAGGTTTTAAGTGCCTATAAACCCATTTAAAGGCACATACCTAGGCCAGACCCAGTGGCTCACACCTGTAATCCCAGCACGTTCCGAGACCTCGCTTGAGGTTAGGAGTTTGAGACCAGCCTGGGCAACACAGCGAGACCCGTCTCTACAAAAAGAAAACAATTGGCTGGGAGTGGTGGTGCGCACCTGTAGTCCCAGCTACTTGGAAGGCTGAGGCGGGAGGACCGCTTGAGCGCACAAATTGGAGGCTGCAGTGAGCTATGACAATGCCACTGTACTCCAGCCTGAACAACAGAGGGAGACCCTGTCTGGAGGAAAGGAGGGGGGGAATTCAGAGCCCTGGATCCTAATGATCCAATGAGAAAGGTCTACTACATAGCTAAGAATTACAAATTACAGCACTTCATTTCTTGGACAGCGTTAAGCCTTGGAATAACCAACCACATATACAGAAAGTAACAGAACTACAGTAGCAGTCTACAACCCTTCCACCCCAACCCCAATCAACCTAATATCCTCCATCCCACATGTCAGTCATCCACTTTCAGAACCTGCAGCCAGAAGTGTGGGATAGTTTTACCTAATTGTAACCAAACGAGATACATAAAAACAAATATTCGTAACTAAAAAATGTGCTAAGAACATTTAACAAACCATTATTCATTTCTTTGGTTTTGAGCATTCTTAAAATAGTTAATAGCTGCATTCATATTGTAAGCTAATTGGTATTAGTCCCAATCACAACAATTTTAACATTTTTACCTAGGAATCTTCTCAGATTCCTATGTTTACCTATACATAATAACTAGAGTATCTTAAATAACAAGCACTTTTTGTCACTTCTCAATACTCTGCACTTTTAGACTTCAGGAAGCTGGTTTAATTTTATCTTAATTCCCCTTAAAAATACATGAGATTTTCATCTTTTAAGCAGTTCTAGCATTTACACAATTTTTTTTCTCATTACAAAAGTAAAGGTAATTTATTGTAGAAACTTCAGAAAAACACTAGGAAGAAAACACAAACTCATAATGCCAACATCCTGAGCAAACAATATTCTGGTGTACCATCTCTATTTCCATGTTTTACACAATCCTTTAAACAAAAACAAAATAATCAAACTCGACATCTGAGGTTTTAAGATGTTCTCTTTTCCAGTTAATAATGCATACCATTATCATTTCCCCATCATTACTCTCTGCCTAAAATATTGTTTTAAGTAGCTGTATAGCTTTTCATTTCCATATTAAAATTAGAAGATCCCCCAAGAGTTGAATCTTTTGATTTTTAACATGCTTAATGAGTAACATTAACATTTATATACACAAATCGTTGACATATTATTCCCCTAGAATAAATTCCTGTAGGTATATTCCTTCCATTGATTGAATCAAGACTCAAGGGTTCTAGACCACACTGATTAACTAAATTACCAGGACCTATCTGGACTTTAAATCTTCTCTTTTATAAAATCAGGAATTCAAGCTATGTGGTATTTTCAAAATATGACATTATCGCTGCATTTCCCAGTTAAAATTTGACTACTTAATATCATTAACTGATTTATAATATCAAGGTTTACATTCTCTAAAAGCATCAGTAATAACAGTATGTTCAAAGACTTTTAACATAAATGTTCATAACAAGGGTGGTTAAATCATTCCGAATTAGTTCAAAATGCTACATAAGCTGTACACAGGTGAAAACGAAAATACATAAAGTGAAACTTCTTCTCTGGATAAAGTATAAACTAATGTTACAAGCATATAATGTTAAGTGCAAAGGAGAAAATGTAAATTTAAAGCACTTCAACACAAATATCTTCCGGCTAAATGATCTCTTTCAAATCTTACATAACCAACCAGAAGAATTCTCATGTAGTACTTCAATGGTGCTTAATTTCGAGTTTGTAAAAACATTCTATTTAAACGGAAAAGGCATGACCCAATGTGTTTCTGCAACAAAAATCTGTACCCTCCCCGCCCTTCTTTATTTCTAAAACAATACTAATGTTGAAAATTGTGTAGACTGCGCAGATGACTGAGCCATTAGTAAAATGATTTTTCAAAGGGAAATTTTATTTTGAACATTTATGAAAATAGCCTAAAATATAATTTTTGCTCCCATAGTCTATTTAAATTTTCTGGGCGACAAATGTATTTTACCAACTATTGAAAAATCTAAACCAAGGTTTGAACTCGACCTCAATACAAAATCTCGTGACTACTACCTGCGAAATCAACGACTCTTCACATTATTCCAGCGCGCTTGAAAGACTAGAAATTTCGGAATCACCATAACCGTTCTAGAAATATCTGGCTGAAAAACTGTAACCGATCCAACAGGAATATTCCACAGAAAAGGATATTTCACAGAACAGGGCCACAGGGAAGGATAAACACCTAGGGGATATTCATCCACCGTAAATGTAGAACACAGAACAGAGCACAGCGCTAGAAATGAACAACGATGCGGCGACTACACCACGGTACTCTCCAAACCCTTTGTCTGGAAACCGGAAGGTTCCCCCACCACACGATCCTCTCAGAGGAACCTGAACTAATAGTATTTTTATAAAAAGAAAAAAGATGGGAGGTGACTGACTAACGAACAAATCACCTTCTTCGCAGCATACTGCAGAAGGCTTTCTCCACGACGCAATACGAAAAACAAGCGTTAACGTTTCATTTTTTCGGCCATTTTTACGCGACGAGGGGGCAGGGAGTTGATTCTGATGTCCAGCTAGCACAGCGCGCGCGCGCGCGTGGGCGGGGGAGTCTGAGGGGGCGCTATGAAGCGATGGGCGAGAAGCGGCGCGAAGGCCGTGACACCAGGGAAAGAAAGAAACGCTGCTAAAACACCAAGCTTTCGGAGTCTGTGAAATCCTCCATTTCGGGGCATATTTCCAGAGGAAAAAAGGCAAACGGATTATTTGGGGCTGGCGCTACCCAAGGACTTTGCTATCTTAACCGTCTTCCCCAAAGGGCAGGCCTCCAATGGACAGTCTGTCCCTCAGGCCTCGAGCGCTCCTCCCTCCCCCTCAGCGTTGCGGCCCGCATGTAACGGGTTTGTTGTCCCGCCCCCGCCCACAGAAAGCCCAGGACGCGGGAAGCTCCGCCGACGAGCAGACCTCGGCACCCCTGACTCTCCCGCCGTACCCAGGGCCTCTGACTGGCCGCGCGTCTCCCTCCGGGACCGCTCACCTCCGCTGCCCGAGAAGGCTGGTTGCGCCGCCACTGCGCTCCTAACATGGCGGCCGCCGATCAGGCGGCTCACATACGCAGCGCGGAGGGAGGCAGAGCGGAGGAGCGGGAGCGAGCAAGAAAGGCGCGCCGCCGGCTCCCCGCGGCCTCTGTCGCCGTCGCTGTCCCCTCCCGGCGGACACTGAGAGCCCCCGGCCACCCCACCCCGACTCTTACCCGCCTCACGCCTACCTTAGGGAGAGGGAGAGGGAAAAAGGAGAGGTATCGCTCTCCCAGCGAGCGGGACGCGGAGGCTCCCACAATCCCCCGCAGCAACGGCGCTGGTGAGAGGAGGCGGCAGCAGCCCAAGAACAAACCTACTCTCGCGAGAGCTTGCACCCACACCCTCAGATCCTGGGTCGGCGTGCGTCAGGCCCCTCCCCCTACTCGGCGCGCGCACCTTGCTCCCGCCCTCGGCTGCGGTCGTTGTTCCCTAATCCGGGAGCCCGCCTCTCTGTCACCCGGCTGAGGCGGGAAATGGAGGAAGAGATATGGTTTACGAGTTCAGAGTCCCATATCCAAAAAGGCTGCTCTTCAACCCCTAAATAGTATAATGCAACATTTAAATAGGATATGTATTAGAAGCGATTCCCGAGACTCCCTGGCTTAGACACGACTTGTATCCTCTCTGGTTCTGGATGTTTGCAGAGGAATGGTAGGAAGGGCCAGAGACTGGGGACACGATACCATTTTGGCTGGATTTTAAATCTCAGGAATTCCGTGCCCCCGAGAGTCCTTGGGGGCGGAAGACAGCGAGCCCATTCCCTTGAAAAGACCGCTGCTGCCATTTGTTGAAAGCAAAACATTTTTGGGACTGAAATACTGGTTCCCGATCCGGGTGCCTGATTCAAGCTGTCACATCAGCGAAGTTGAGGCTTAAGTGAATTGAGTTTGGAGAGTCGATCTGAATGCCAGTCTCCAACCACTCTCACAGAACTCTCCGTCTGGAGGTAGGGAATTTTCCAGCACAATTAATGATTACTAATTATTAATATTTATGGAGTGCTTACTACAGGGTGGGCAATGCAATAAGCAGTTTACACATAAGCTTACAATAACCCAGAAAGGCGGCTACTATCATCATTCCCTTTCGTAGATGAGAAAACTAAGACATTAAAAGGTTACGCGATTTAACAAAGGTGAAGGAACTAGTCAGTGGAGTCTTGATGACTCTTAACCAGGCACTACCATAAAAGGGCTTTGCTGTCTTAACCATCCTCCCCAAATGGCATACATAGCCATCTCAGGCCGTGGGAAACGTTTATCTACAAAATAAGTAGCAAGCTGCTGGTCCACAATATTACTTTACCTCAATCTAATTTAGTCAGTGATAGAAGTGTTTCCTGAGTGCCTATTGCACTGTATGTTAGGCCTCAGGGAAACAGCTGTTTAGTAGACAAAGGCAATCTTTGCCCTCATGGAGCTTACGTTACATACAGATACTGAAGCAATTAAATGTGTATATAAATTGAGATAGCTGAGTAATCTGAGGGATGGGAAGCTTTCCTAAGAAACTGAAGTTTGAGCTACTGTCTGATGAGTAGGCAGGCCATTAACTAGGTGAAGGGAATAAAGCAAACTCCTGCCAGAGGGATCAGAATGTGTGAAAACCCTGGGCCAGCCCAGTGGTTCACGCCCGTATCCTCGCACTCTGGGAGGCCAAAGCCGGAGGATCGCTTGAGGTCAGACCAGCCTGAACAAGAGCGAGACCCTGTCTCTTCTAAAAAAATAGAAAAAATTAGCCAGGCATCGTGGCGGGTGCCTGTAGTCCCAGCTACTCGAAGGCTGAGGCAGGAGGATTGCTTGAGCCCAGGAGTTTGGGGTTGCTGTGAACTAGGCTGAAGCCACGGTACTCTAGCCCTCTAGCCTGGGCAACAGAGTGAGATTCTGTCTCAAAAAAATAAAGCAAAATATGTGAAAACTCTGAGGAAGACTTTGGGAAATTGAGTTGCAGAGACCAGAATTCAAGTTCAGTTTGGGACACGTGGACTAAGAAGTGGTGTGGGTCTTGAGCTCAGGGGAAAGTTGTGGGTTAATGACAAATTTACACTTTAAGGATGTAAGGGAAGTTTAAAGACACACTGATCAAAGTACAGTGAAGAGAGAGAGGCCTTAGCCTCTAAAAATCAAAATACTTCAAGAACAAAGTGACCAACAGGTCAAATGCTACCAAGAGGTAGAGATGAAGACTAAAAACAAAACATCTGCAAGATTTACAAACATGGACATCATTAGTAACATTGAGAGTTGCTTCCAGTAAAGTGTGGGAAGTCAGACTAGAGAGGCTGAATGTATGGAAAGTAGGGAGATAAAAACTTCTATACAGTAATAGGAGGTATGGAGTGAATAGGTCAGAGATTTCATTAGGTCTGGTGACTTCCATTTTTTCTATGACAAAGTCATATGTTGAGGGCTGGAGTTGTGAAAGGGAAAATTTTAAAATAGCCATTTTGAAAGGTAGAACTGCAATTTCATATCTGTATGTTATGTTCTGATTTCCTAGTCTTGGCAACAGCACTTGGTAGGACTTATCAGGGGCTGGGATTCCCTTGAAGTGATACTTACACCCACTTATACAGCTAGCTTTGGAAAGACAAAATTTTTTGGAAGGCATTCTAATTCTTTCGTGAATCTTGGGTCTTCCACTTGAAGCCTGATCTGCTTTTCTACACCGTTAACCTGATTCCAACTGATCTTGGCTAAGCTTTCCCATTAAATTGTCCTCAACTCTTAGATGAAACAAGAGTCCTCTGGCAGAAACATGACTGCCTATCAATTCTCAGTCCAGATATGCACTTACCCATTTGTGTGCATAAGGCTCTAATGCCATCTGGTGATTGTGCAAGGAAAGCCAAACCTTTTCAACAGAATATTTATTGAGGTTCTTAGTGATGTTGAAGATTCAAAAGAAATATTACAGGTGCTTACAGGCTTATCAGCAAAAAGTCACATAGGAAACCAAAGTGAATAATATAAGATTTCATTCACCAAATGGCTATTTCATGAAGCACACAGTACAAGGTTGGGGACATAATGATGAAAAAGACAAATCACCAGCCCTTGAAGACTTCGGTCTGATGAAGACTGACAGGGAAATTGGCCTCAAGGTGGGCCTAGTTGTGAGCAGGGGTGGGGCAGCTCTATTCACGTTTGCGTTACTTTGGAGTGGGTGCCGGTGTGCACTAGGAATGGAAAAGAATGAGGCCTTCAAAGCAAGAATTGCTGCTGAGACTTTGCGAGGTCTAAGCGGCAAGTCTGGTACAGCTTAATGAGCTTTCAATGCCAGAATAGTCTGGATTTGAACTTTAATGAGGATCTTTCCCAGTTTAGAGCCAAGGAAAAAACATTAAGAGATTGAGGACATATATTTTAACACCACAAAATCCATTAAAACATTCATTAGGTGAATATGAGAAGTCATGTCATCAATAACATTTTTTTTCTTAAAGATTCTTTTGATTGAGAATTAAACTTGACAAAGGTAAAAAGCCTAAAAGATTACAAAATGGGATTGACAACTTTGAGGTCAATCATTTCACATTCAGCAGTCAAGTAATATTTGAGACTACTATTATGTGCTCGGCACTTGCCAGTACACAATAGTAAACAAAATAAAGGATCTCTGCTCTCATGGAGCTCACAAGTCACCTGATTATGCATTTTAATTACCATTGAGGGTGCAGTACCATTATTCCTGTTTTACATAATTAAGAAGCTTGCCCATAGTCTTGCAGCTAGAGACAAAACCATAGCTTTTGAATATTATGTTATGCCTCCTACAGCAGAGCTGTGGCCTTAGAAATCTCCCAGGACAGATTTAATGCCCTGGAACCAGGTCATTTTTTTAAGGGCTATTTAAAAACAGAAAACTGTTAACCAGTGGCTCCTCTTCCAGTAGTGGCATGGAAGTGGGGGCAGGATTTTAAAGGGCGTTTTTGAATAGGCAGCATGTATATGATGAAATTTCAAAACTGTCTTTTGAGAGCTTAATTATGTCTCTTGGTGAAGACCTCTGTGATATATTTGGGGCTCTCTGGGCTTCAGGGATCTGCATGTTCATTGCTTCCTCCAGGTTTGAGAAGTTTTCTCTTATCTTTTTGTCCCTTTCTTTTTGGAATAAACAAAATATATACATTGGTTCATGTGACGTCATAGCTTGCTAGGAAACTTCGGTTTAGTCCTTGTGTTCTCTAGCTCCAGAATTTGGTTCAATGATTTTTCTTTGTTGAAATTCTCCTTTTGACCATGTATTGTTTTTCTGATTTCACTTAGTTCTCTACATTCTCTTGTAGCTCACTGAGCTTCTTTAATAACATTATTCTGAACTCTCTGTGAGACAGTCCATAAATCTCCGTTTCTTTAGGGTCAGCTACTGGTGTCTTATTTTGTTCCTTTGGTGGTTGTTTCCCTGATTGTTCATCATCTTTGTGCCCAGAGGTTGGTGTCTGTACATTTGAATAAGTGGGTACCTGTTCCAGTCTTCACAGACTGGCTTCAGCAGAGAAAACCCTTCACCAGTCAGCTCATCCAGAGACTCTGGGCACACCCATATGGTATGCCCCATGGGCAGGTTAGCCTGCCACCTGGGTCTGTAGCAGTGGGCCTGGTACCTGTATGTGGGGGCCCACCTGAAGTTTAGGTCTACAAGTGCTCGAACCTGAGTTAGTCTTAAGTCCTCAGGCTTGGACTTCAAGGCTGTGGGGGCCTTCCTGTCCTAGGTATTACTGAGGTGGACCTAGTGTTGGGGTCAAAGTAAATCTGGTTCTCGCTTAACTCTTTGCCCCATGCAAAAAGCATATGAGCTCTGCCACCTGAGCTAAGTGGAGGGATAATGTGAAACTGTCCTCTCTTGTTCAGTGTATCATTTTTTATTTCTTTGCTACACTGAGGTACTGTGATCTCCTCTCACCTGGTTTCCTTAGCTCTTGTGAAGGTGTTTTTGTGTTAATTGTTCAAATTGATGTCCAAGAGGCCACCCCAACTTCCTGAGTAAACTTCAAATACAGTGAAGTTTTCCCTAACTTCTATTTCCCCATGATAAAAAGGCAACTACTACCATTTCTTATGTATGTGTGTGTGTGTGTTCTTGTGAATACTGCCACAAATTCTCTGCTATTCTTCTTATATGATGATGTTATTAATTTCCCCTCTCCCCACATCTGGGAGGGTCCTGTGGTGTGCTTTGACCAATAGAATGCAAAAATAAACTTTTAAGATCTACTTTCATCTGCTTGCAACCCAATTGCCATGATGGGAAAAGCCCAAGCCTTATGAAAAGAACCAAAATGGTACAGTAAACAGGCAGAATACCCAAATGAGAGCTCACGCCATCTGCCAGTTAAA